AGATATTGAAACTCTAAAAAAAATACAGAGAAGAGCAACAAAGATGATTAGCGTACTAGAGGCTAAAACATATGATGAATATTTGCAAGAGCTGGGTACGTCTATTCTAATGAAGAGGAGGGCTACTGGTGACATGACATATCCAACTTAGAACTAAGAAGAAATTTCTTGACAGTGAGAAAAATTAATTGGTGGAATGAGTTGCCTTCAGAAGTACTGGATACACCAACTGAAGATCTGAAGAAGAGATTGGACAGTCCAGAATGATATAAGGGTTTCCTGCTTGAGCAAGGGGTTGGACTTGAAGACCCAGGGTGGGATGCTACTGGTTCTGCCTGGTTCTATAGAGCCGGTAGCTCTGAAGAGTAGCAGACACCAAACTGGTTCTGTGTTTGCTGCTGTTTGGCCCACCTGCCCGCCCGGTCTGTTACTGACCTTTATTTCTGTTAGGAATGATAGTCACCTAACAGTTGGGTTGGAAATATATAAACCAGGACAGTAATTTAATACTGTATCTTTAAGAGAATGCTGTAATTGTGATTGGCTGAGGTTCCTCCAATGGCCATAAGATGTAGCCAGAAACCTGGTTTCTTTCTCCTTGTATTTCCTGTTTTGCCATATTGCCTGATCGTCGTTCTGCTTGGATTGCTGTGAGTCTTGCAACTGTTAGCAAACTCCGTTTACTGAATTCTGTTTATGATACTGGACTTTGTTTTTGGATTATCCCTGGACTGATTGTATTGAATACCACCTGCTTTAACTGTGTATGATTTGGACTGTTTATTGGACTTTGTTTACTTGTTTACTGGAAGTAAAACCTACATTTTACTATTCAGTGTATCTGTGTGTTGGTTGTGTGTTATTCAACACCACTCTCACTACGTTTCCCTGAGTGCACTCATTTTCCTAACAGGGAATACCTCAACAATTTCCTGCTTTTTCAACCTCAGCTGCTTTGCGTGGCACAGCAGAGGTTGAAAAAGGTTGCAAAACGTAGTCACCAAACCGGTAGTAACACCAGTTGTATCCCACCCCTGAGAAGACCTCCAAGCTGACTTCCAACTCTGTTGTTCTGAACTCATTCTCAAGTGTTTTAAAATTGGGAATTTCCAGATAATTATAGGAAGACACTTTTCTTCCTTTTGTAAGAATCCATCTGATGCTGTGTATAATTTGTACAGATGAAAGGAAGACATATTTTGCAAGGCATTCAATACTATCGACTAGCCTGGGCCCCTGACAGTATTCATAGCTAACTTGAATGTGGGATGTTATAAATGTCCTTGGCAGCTATTTTATGTTACTGATGTTGTTCTACATTTTGCTTGTTGTACTTATTGTTTACTTTTTAATTGTCAGCTACCCAGAGTCATTATATGAAATGAATAGCTATATAAATTAATAATAAATCAATATTTGGCCTTTAGAATCTAAAACCATTAGAGTATATATCAGCACTGGAGTCAATAATGTTCAAACTATATTGACAATTCAAGGAACATAGTTGAAAGTGAGGGCAGCTATTTATTCCTACTTTTAGAATTTGTAGGACTTCTACTTTCTGAGTGGCTTTCAGTTATGTTGTAAGTCAGTAACAATGTTTTTAGCTATGGAAGGTATTTTGTATGGTCATTTGAAAGAACAGTAATTACTTGATTCTTTGTATATACTAGAGAAGTAGGATATTAAAAAACAATCTAATGAATATTATTTGGTTTCGAAGCAGATAACTGCAACGATTGTTTTACATTAATTTTTGTTGGGTCCCAAAACAGATAAGTATTATGGGGAATGAATGAAGAGATTATACAGCTAGGGAGGATTTGTTTACTTCTGATGAGGATGTTTCTGTACTTTTAACTCCTTTGGAAATCAAATACAGACTTAAATGGGGGTTTAGAAATAAATAACAGTGTGAAAATAGACATGCTTTATTTCTGCCCTGATTTGGATGGGTTTTTTTTTTTTGGGGGGGGGAGTTTTGATTGTCAGGATCAGGTGAAACACATTAATCTTTTTTAATGTTAAGGTTGAGTGGAGCAGAAAAAAACCTCATTCATATTCTTTGATACTCCTGGTGTTATAATAATGACAAAAATAATGACTTCCCAACTTGTATATTTGAATTTCTTTTTACCTACTGATATACTAGCTACTTTGCCATTCTTGGGGATAACTTGATGGCATTCCAGGATTTATGGTTTTTTTGGGGATTAACGGAATGTAAAGATTGTTTTGATAAGCAAAAATAACAGGTGATGAAGTTTGCTTTGCTATTTCTCTCAGGAAGAAGATGAGCTTAAATATACCAACCTTTTCCCACACCTGCATATCAAACTGTGTTAGATAAGGAGATTTTCCAAGGGAGCATACTCAAACAAACAACCCTTTGTGAAATGAGGAATCAGAATAAAAGTTTCTGGCCAAATGTAGGGGTAATCCCAATTCCTCTGACTTGTAATACATAAACACATTCAGGAATAACATCTGAATTTAAATCTTCTGAATACAACGCCAAGCTTCACTATCAGGATTTTACATGCCACTCTGCTTAATATTAGCTTGTGCAAAACCAACAATGTCTTGGAACTGTTTGTTTACCTACTTTGTTGACATTGCCCAGGAAGTCAGCAATTCTGTTTAAATGAAAAGAATTGGATATGGGAGGAAGAATGTGTCATCTCTATCTTTGTAAGGCAGAATCTGACCCCCTGCTGTGTTTCCAATATGCTCCCCACTTTTTTCTACATATTTCTTCCCCTTTTCTTCACGAAACAGCAGCTTCATTTCACATCCATTTTTTTTAATACTCTTTCACATCTTCCCACTCACAGATACCCACAGATGCAACTCTACATTATTTTCTTCTGCTGATAATGGATTTCTCTGGTGACAGCAAGCGCTGCCAAATATGTGGGTAACATCTAGTTTAAGTTCAAACTGAATCCTTCACCTCTGTCATGATGTACACCTTGCTCAGTAGAAAAACTGAAAAAAGCAATTTTGTGTCCATAATAAAATAACTTGCTTATTCCCCCACCCCTCTTCTATATATAAGACCTTGCAGTTTATTCAAAATAACTTGCATGAAGATTTCCAAAAGTGAAGTCTTGGGAGCTAAGAAATGACTTCACTATTAAGGAAAGGAGGCTGACATGAAAAAGATACTCTTCTGGAAAAATGTATGTTGAAAACATGTACACATACACCACAATTCTAATTTTCTTGGGCAATGTGCTTGTTTCTACTCCAGGCTTTTTATTTACATTTCCTATGTTTCCTACTCCTCTGTAATATCTGATAATTCAGGTTATGAGAGGCAAGAGTACTCTGAACTTTTTAATGCTACACTGATCAATTCCAACTCTTGCTTTAGAATAATAAGAAGCTTGTTATAAAAAGAACACAGCTAGAATTACATATTTTTACCACATTTTTAAAAACAGTTTTCTAGAGGTGTGTGTCTCTGTGTGTCTGTATATATATATATATATATGCATGTATGTGCATGTATGTATGTATGTATGTATGTGTATGTATTTATATTTTCTAGAACTGAAATATATGATTCACCTAAGCAAGCAAATACATAGTTATCTATTTCAGTAAATTATATAATCATAGAAAATATATACTAATCATTGTTTTCATTATTGTAATAGTGATAAAAACAATGGCATGTTTTGTATACAAATGTCTTGATATTCAAGCTTTATAAATAAGATTTGCTAATTCCCTAGCAAATGAACTGGTGTTCTTTAGTGCTGGTCACAACACACATTGGTTACTTTAGTGGAAATGGCTGGACATTGATCAGACAGCAAAGTAATACACATAAAATTCCAGCAGCCAGTCTTCCATATATACTGAAATGGGATGTGATAATATTGTAATTAATATTTCTGTAAGATAACATTACGTGACATTGTAGAAAAATATGTCACCATCTCTGCCCCTCTAGTGCTACATGGACAATATGTTGAGAAAGAGGAACTATTTTATAACTGTCTACCAGAACTGCTAAAGGCAGTTTGACACCCTTGATCAACTGACATTAAACCAATCCAGTCAAAAATCCCTATGCAACATTGGCATTGTAATAGATCAAGGGTGTCAAACTCGATTTCATTGAGGGCAGCGTCGGGGTTTTGTTTGACCTCGGGGCGGAGTAGGCATGGCCAGGGTGAGCATGGCCAGGATAGGCAGGCCCAGTTTGATGTCACTCATGTTGGGAGTGACTGTGGCCCAAGTGCTCCAGATCTCCGTTTTCAGTTGTGATGGCCTCCTGCTGCCCTCTGCCAGTGAAAAGGGAGCTCAGGTGTGTGTGTGTGCCCCCTGAACTCCATTTTTGCTGGCAGAGGCACCATGGCCCGGGCCTTTGCTGTTTCTAGGATGGCCCTGCAGGCCAGATATAAGCACCCCATAGGCCGGATCCAGCCCCTAGAGTCTAGACCTTGAATTTGACACCCATGTAACAGATGATCATGGTAAACCTTCTATTCAATTACATGTAACTGTATTGTAAAACTAAACATTTCCCCATATTTCTTGATTATGTTTTCAGTGCTGCAATGTATTACAACATTCAAACAAAGCACTGGGTCTAATTTCTGTTGATAAGCACAGGTGAGAAATTTGGAAAGAATAGATGTGATGTACTGTATATCCAAGCCATTCAAAAGTCACATTGCTGATTTAGTTGTCATATTGCATATACATTTCATTCCTGCATATTAACAATAACTCACATACTCTAAGAACAAGAAACCATTAGGCATTGCTATGCTGTGCTTCAGCTTTTATTTGTAAGACATGTTTTATAATGTGTGGGAATGCAAACTCAATATGTCCAGCTTTAATGAGGTGCAGACTGGTGTTGTGTTTATGTTCTTGTATGTTCTGGAACACCTCTTTGAATTGAATTGGAAGCTTGCATGGCCTCATTACTAAAAAGTATATCAGGTACATTGACTACTATATGTTTCCTGCCATCAACTTACCTGATAAGCCTCCCACGTCCATCTTCTTCAGATTCTTTGCTTCTAAGATGACAACAGTCAGCTTGCCAGCAGTAGGCACGTAGCGGAGAGAGAAACAGATGTCACCTAGCTTCTCTTGCTGCAACGAAGCAAAGGGAATTGTAAGTAGATATATATCAGTATATTGCTTAAAACCAAAGGTTAACACATATATTTTCTAAAACACTTTTGTAAAATAGTGACCTCTATGTTAATCTGTTCAGAAAACAAGGCATCTCAACATACATGAATTCAAAGTATAAATCACTTTGTTATAGTTGAATATGAAGCAATAACTAGAAAAAAAAATCTGCCCCTATTTCTTATCAGTTTCTGTTAAAAATACTGGTAAATTCAACATTCAATTTTTCAGGATTTATAAGTAGAGCCTTTCTCACTTCTGTAACAACAACAAAAAAACAAAATATGGAAAATACTTGCAAATATACATTTATTTCACTAAAAGCAACTTTTCAACTTTAATCTCTTTGCAGATGAAATTGGTGTATTACATTTTTAAAGTTTATAAACATGGAAGATTTTGTATATAAAAACATCTATTAACCCTGCTCAAACATCATCTTTGAACTGAACTTAGAAATAAAGTTCTGTGCCAAACTCAGTTCCAGGTAACATAACATTATCTTCAACACATTAGACCATTGTTTCTTACCCTTGGCAACTTTAACATGTTGGAATTTCACTTCCAGACTCCCCAGCCAGCCAACTTCACTAGATATAATTCATCATCCTATTGATCTCAGTCTTATTGTTTATAATAGGACTTAGACCTGAGTATAATTTGAATTGTGAGCATACATTTTCATTAAACTTAATATTACAGAAATATTAATTAGTTCTCCCAATAATACTGTACTGATACTATATCTAAAAGCCAGACAATTTGAGAATCAGATATTACATCTAGATCTTCAAATTTATTTTTTTCACCTTTCAATGACTGTAGTTATGTTGTCTCTCACATTTGTTTCAAATATGTTAAATATATTAATTCCATAGCAATTTCTAATAGAAAAATGCAGTCATGACTTCTCAGTATGGCAGTTGATGCCTGACTCATTTCAAATTTGTATTTTTCTGCATCCACAAATGTGTTAATTGTTAGCTCACTGCTTGCTGCTGTAAATTATTAGCGACCCTTTTAGCATGAATATTAGATTACTTGTGATAGTCATCAGCACATCATTAGTTTTGTTGTCAGAAAACAGTGAACTGTACTGAGCCTTGTTATGTTCTGAAATAAACTGAACAGTTTTGAAAGATAAAGTAGCAGTCATAATTTAGCAAACAACACAAGCGTTGTCCAAATAGACACAATGGCCTCTTCCAAATGTCAACATGAGTTCAGGGGTCAACTAAATACAGGAGAATTCTCTACAGTTATGATGAACAATACTGCATTACTAAAGTCGTTCACCACACAAAGGTTAAGCAACCATTACAAAATGACAAAAGCTTTCTATTAAATGCAAAAATGAGTATATCTGAGGCTGGAATGATAAGAAGAGACTTCATGCTGCTCAGTAATGATCATTAGAAAGAGTCTGCTGCTCTGACCTTAGATCTATGCTACTTTAGCTGGGTAAGAATATTACTTTAAAAAAACCCTACAGAATCAGGTTTTGCTTAAACAATTCTAACTAGGCATTTTAGGCCTCTGACCTTTCTTTGACAGATAGATCTCATTAAACATACTCATTATGAAGTGTAGTATAATTACACAATTACCTTGGGGAATATAATAAACCTCCTTGAAGACAATTTCTGTATGCTAGAAGACAACTACATAAAAGGACAGATGGGAGTCTTCAATATCTTAAGGTAAGGGTGTGCCAATAACCACTGAATCACGTATCACATCCTAAGGACAGTTCTCAGTTTCTGTCTAATTTTGCCTAATAGGTTTAAATACAGCCAGGTTGTACAATATCACTGTTCTTAATCATAAATACAAGCTACCAACAAAGCCTACTCAGCTGGACTCTCATTTCCATACTTTTCAGGTATTAACTAAGATTGGAATATCTCACTGGATATACAACTTTGCGCTCTCATAAATGGCTAATGTTTGGGACTTCCTATGGAAAATAGCAGACTGAAGACACTGCCTGAAGTGACAGCCCACACCCAGTTATGTTTTGTGGGCACAGGCAGGTTTTCTGGAGCTGAAGAATTCTTTGGGTGTTAAGGAGATCCAAAAAAATGATCCACAAATCCTCCAGACAGCCAGTGCTTGCAAGAGATAAATTGAGAGAATATAGACAATAGAAAAATATGGAAAACAACCACATGTGTACAGTATTTTGTTTTTTCGTAGGAATCTGTAGTGTAGGGTTTCCTGAAAACACTATTTTTGCCTGAAAACAAAAATTAGAAACTATTTAGCACAGTCACAATTAGGAAACATATTCTTTAGTACCAGCCCTCTTTAAATCAGTACTTTCTGAATTCTTAAGTACTGTATTCTGTGAATATTGAAATGTTCATATGCACTGCTTTGCTACCTTGCAAATGCTCCCTGTCGTTAGAATTCCTCCCTGCATTTCAAATTTTCGTACTGTATTTTATGAGCACAACCAGAAAAAGATGCAAAATCCTACTGCTAATGTTGCTTTATCAAGTACCAATCACAGCTGTAGAACTTTCTAAATAAAAGCTTCTTCATGAGAAGAAAGTTTAAATGTGAACAGTCCACACAGATCATTTGGCTATCTAGTAGAAATCTGTTTCAATGTATCCCATGCACACATCCATAATTTAAAAAAAATGTGCTGGTGTCCCTACCCTGGCGATATACTGAAGGGCCTTAAAGACCTGGGTCTTCATCCTGGCCTTTGGAGCGGATAACTGATGCTCTGTTCTTTCTTTCTGTTCTTTACCTGGTTAGTTTTGTTTCCCATGGTTGTTCTTGTGCTGTATTTGTTTTTTCTGTGATTCTTTGTTTGCAAATGTTTTAACAAGTGTAAGCAGCCCCAAGTCATTGGGAGTTGGATGATAACTAAATTTAATAAATTATTAATAAATATTATGAAATTGAGTGCTTAGAACATGGTATCCTATAATCTTTTAAAATTATGTAGCGGTTAATATGCTGATATCAAGTCATGTACTTGTCGTTTTCAAAGATAATTGAAAATCCCTGCCAGATTAAGGAACAGAGAAGTGTCTCTCTAGGGGTGATTATTTCACAGAGGTATGTTATTGTTATTATGATTAACTTTCATTTTCAGATATAATTTAGTTTAGCCAATGGTTAGGATCACTAGATGGAAACTTCCACCTGGTTTTAGAATGGTCCTACGGAGAGGTTCACTGAGGTTAACTTCTTTCCTTTGAATGTTCAATTGCCAATCAATTCAATTGTTCCTTCTGCTTTAAGCAGCTTGATAATATACATACAATTGCTTCCACTGAACAGAACATAAATGAATTCAAAGCTTTAATAGATCACACCAGAATAATTTTCTTCTTTACAAGAAAAGGTCAGTTAAAACCCACTGAGCCAGCAACTGTTCTGTTAAGAAAAGGCTCCAAGTGATTAACATTTTGACAGAGAAATATTTTTTTAAACTTTGCCTATCTATATTCATTTTAATAAAAGGGAGAGATAACAATAAATAACAAAAAACATAAGATTCTCATTTACTTTATTGTTTTTAGGATTCACCCATTTGTTTATGATTCGTTGTGAACCAATGGGCAACAAAATATTTAAGCATTATTAGTACAGCTTCATTTTTAGTGCCAAACAGTTCTATATATTTTTTTCCAGTAGATATTTGTTTTATTTTTAATGTGCCCATTTTTTTCATAAAGTGTCCCTTCTTTTCTGTAACTATCTTAAATCAATCCACCCCCATTTTGTTGTTCCTTTCACTTTCTTTTCATTGCTTACTTTGTTGCAATTATTTATCTCTTCTTGTTGTTTTGTGGATCTCAGGATTTAGTTGGCCAAACTCAGTGGTGGGATTCAGCCAGTTTGGGTTAGTTCACATGAACCAGTGGTAAAAATTTTGGCTCCCCCTAGACACTCCTCATCTCATCCATTTGCCTGGCATAGTTGTTGCTGCTCTTCATCTGGCTCCCTGACTTGCCTCAACCACGCGGTCTCTGAGAGCCAGCCAGCTTGCCTGCCTTCAGCTCCATCCCATGTGGCACTCTCTGTGTGGCCCAGCTGAGCTGCCCTGATTTGCCTGGAAGCCTGGATGAAACTTCAAGCAGCAAGGCCTGAATCCCAGCCTAGCTGCCTCCCACATGGTCCAGCAAGCTTGCCTGCCTTCCATGTGGCCAAGTTAAGCTGCCCTGATCTGCCTAGATGAGTGATTGCTAGCAGCAAGGCCCGAATCCAAGCCTAGCTGCCTCCTACATCACCCCACAGTCCCCAAGGCCCTGCATGCTTGCCTGCCTTCCCTACTCTCTTCCATGCAGCCCATGGCCCCATCATGCTTGCCTTTCCTCTTGGGGAAGCAGGGCTGGGAAGGGTGGTTGACTACCGGCTATGGCCTCACCCTGCAGTTAGCCCCGTAGGCCTGCAGCCGCCTCCCCCCCAACTGGCTGACCGACTGCCTCAAGCTGTAAGCAGCCATCTTGGCATGGAGAAAAGTTGTGTCTCCCCATATTCCTGTCACTGTGAGCAGCCTTGTGCAGCACCTTTAAGTTTAGAGCTCTTCACAAATGAGGAGGAGGGGACGCTGCCTCCCCAATTTGTGAAGCGTGCTAAATTTAAAGGTGCTGCGTGAGGCTGCTCATGGCAAGAGGAATATAGGGAGATGCATGACTTTTCTCCACGCTGAGCTGCTCTCGCCATGGAGGTGAGACGAAGAAACGAGAGAGAGATGAGAAACACACACACACACACACAGATGGAGAAATGAGAGAGAGATGAGTGAGAAAAACAGGGAGAAAGAAAAAAGAGATGAGAGAGAGATATGAGAAACAGAGAGAGAGGGAGAAAGACAGAAAAAGGAGAAATGAGAGAGGAAGAGAGAGAGATGGAGAAAGAAAGATGAGAGAGAGATGAGAGAGAAAAACAGAGAGGGAGAAAGAAAGAGAAAGAGATGAGAGAAAGAGATGAGAAAC